TCCAAGTAGCTGGAACTACAGGCGTGCGCTACCACACCTGGCTAATTTTTTGATTTATTGGAGAGATGAGGTCTCACTAAGTTGCCTAGGTGGGTCTTGAACCCACGGGCTCAGGCAGTCCACTCACCTCGGCCTCCCAAAGCGCGGGATTACAGGCTGAGCCACCAAGCCTGGCTCATGCATAACTTTTTAAGAAACAGCCAAACTGATTTTCAAGGTACGAGGTCTGATAATTAAGTTCACAAACTTGCCACTGTGTGCTTATTTGGCGGCCCTGCACAAACAACTCAGTAAGGTTTCGTCACCTTGTCATATCTGTGTCTACAGCTGTGGTCTGACATGTGGCAATGTCTTGCTGAGTGACGTTCATAATTGTTGCACGTTTTTGTGTGTGGTTGCGAGAATGTCGGTGCTCAAATTAGAGCAATGAACACACATTACTTTTCGTGTTAAACTCGGCAAGAGTGGAAGTGAAATCAGAGACGTGAGTCCAAGTGTATGGGGCTAATGCCACGAAGACAACAGCAGTAGACAAATGGATTAAACGTTTTTCTGAGGGGAGAAAAAGCGTCACTGATGAAGAGAGGTCAGGACGGCCGGTAGGGGGCAGAACTGATGAAAACATTGCAAAAAATTGTCAGGTTGTGCATCGAAATCGTCAGTTGACTGTGAGAAGCATAGCAGACCAAATAAACATCAATAGAGAAACGGGAGAACCCTCACTGAAAATCTTGGCCTGTGAAAGGTGTGTGCAAAAACGGTCCCAAAGGAACTCTTGCATCACACCAGGGCATCAGCTCATACAGCGCTGTCTGTGAGGGAGTTTGTTGTCAGTCAACAAATAACTGTATTGGGACACTCTCCCTACTCACTTGATCTGGCCCCGCGTGACTTTTTCTTTACCTGAAGATAAAGGAAATATTGAAAGGAAGACATTTGGATGACATTTAGGACATGAAGGGTAATGTGACTACAACTCTGATGGCCATTTCAGAAAAAGAGTTCCAAAACTGCTTTGACAGGGGGACTAGGCACTGGTGTCGGTGCACAGCTTCCCAAGGGGAATTCTGTGAAGGTGACCATAGTGATGATATTCGGCATTGAGGTATGGAGCACTTTTTCTAGGGTGAATTTGCAGACATCATTGTCGGACCTGGTAGTTGCACCATGTTACATTCCCACCGGCAGTGTATGAGAGTTTCTCCAGCTGCTTGACATCTCCGCCAAAACCTGGTGGAAGGAATCTTTTTAGCTCTGGCCATGCTCTTGAGCGGGGACTGGTGTCTCATTGTGGTTTTAGTTTGCGTTTCCCTCATGACTGATGGTGTTATACATGTTTGCAGATGTGTACATGCCCTCTGTGTATCCTTTTTCTGATGAAATGCGTGTCGAACTATCTTGCCAATTTTCAAACCGGATTGGTTGGTTTGGAAAACACACCCTTGCTCAGCTAGGGCACCCCAGTTCTATTCCTGGATCTGGTCCTCGCATTGCCGTGTGATCTTGAGCGCAGACGTCTCCCTTCTCTCGGCCTTTGCTGGTGAGCAGTTAGGCTCACTGCTCTATACGTCTCCTGTGAATTAGAAGGCTCAAGTTCTTTGTTGGATATGTGCTTTGCAAGTATTTTTTAGTTTGTGGCTTGCCTTTCTAAACAGCATTTCTTTAAAAAGGAAAAGTTTTTTACTGTTGATGAAGCCATCATTTGTTTCTCTTATAATTTGTGCTTTTTGTGTCATATTTAAGAAATCTTCCCCCAAAGCCAAGATCACTAAGATTCCTATAAGGAGGTTTTGCAATTTTATAATTATGACTCTTACCTTGAGGTGTGTGTTCCAGGTTAATTGCTGTTGTGGTATGAGGTGGGGGTTGAGGCTTCTTTTCCCCTATGTGGCTGATTGTTCCAGCATCATTTGTTGAAGATACTAGTCTTTTTTCACTGAATTGTCTTGGCACCTTTGTCAAGAATCAACTGACCATATATATGTCTATGAGTCCAGTGCCAAGTTCTCTGCCATATTCCAGCTTCCTATCTGTCTGTCTTTACATCAGAAGCACTCTTGATTACTGTAGCCTTATGATAAGTCTTGACATCAAGCAGTGAATGCCCTACATTTTTTTCTGTTTTTCTCTCCTATGTTATAGTCTAGGTTGTTTGCATTTCCATAGAAAATTTAGCGTTCACTTGTCCATCTCCAGAAAGAAAAAAAAACTGAAGGGAGTTTGATTTTGAATGCCTTTAATCTAGACATCAGTTGGGGGAAAATGGACATTTAAACAATATGAAGTTTTCTGATCCACGAGCATGGTATATCTCCCCATTTGGTTGGATTTCCTTGAACTTCTTTCTCAAAAAAAAAAAAGGTTACAATTGTTTACACAATTTAGTCAATTATAAAATATAATTAAAATGTATTTTAAAGTCAAACTCTACATTTCCTTTTATTTTTTCACATGAAGTTTACTAGAGAAAGAAGGGAGAACAGAAAGAGTGACATGCCAGTGCTGGCATGTGCAAAAGAAACCGTGACATTTCCTTTCAAACAATAGATTAGACCCATCTCAGAATAGAGGCGTGCTGCAATATTTGGGGGCTTGCATGAAGTTATGCCTTTGCTCACAGGACTATTAAAACTGCCATTCATTCTTGCAATAAATGGTATTCTCCTTCTCCAGGCTCAAAGCAAATTCATTTTTGTTCTTCCTTCTTTTTTTTTCTTGAAAGAGTCTAGCTCTGTTGCCATGCTGAGAAGCTGAGTGCTGTGGTATGGTCATAGCTCACTGCACCCACGAACTCCTGGGCTCAAGCAGTCCTCCCACCTCAGCCTCCTGACATGGCTGGGACTACAGGCACACACCACCATGCCTGGCTAATTTTGTATTTTGTTTAATGTTTTGTAGAGACAGGGTCTCGCTATGTTGCCCAGACTGCTGTTACACTCCTGGCCTCAAGTGATCCTTCTGCCTCAGTCTCCTAAAGTGCTGGGATTATATGCATGAGCCACCACACCTGGACCAGAGTGAGACTCCACCTGCAGCCTCGACCTGCTATGCTCAGGCGATCTTTCTGTCTCAGTCTTCCAAGTAACTGGAACTACAGGCACACGCCACCATGCCCAGCTAAGTTATTTTTTTGATTTATTGTAGAGATGAGGTCTCGCCAAGTTGCCCAGGCCAGTCTTGAACCCCTGGACTCAGGAAATCTTCTTGCCTTGGCCTCCCAAAGTGCTGGGATTACAGGCTTGAGTGTCTAGCTCCCAAATTCATTTTCATTAAAAACTTAACCAAGAGAAAATATATGAGTGGTATATATAAATCGTGCTAGAATCATTTTAGCTCTCTCTTAAAAAAAAAAAAGATCATGGATTTCAACTATTTCAAAAGTTGTAATAGAGGGTAATAGGGTTTTTCTTCAGAATTCAGTCTGGTGTTTGGGTATCTCTAACTGAGGCTATTGTAGAGGGCAATCATGTCCTTGTGGCTCACACCGACATTTCTGATGTCTGGCAGCCTTTCCGGGGGAGGTCTGGGTCATCACCATAAGAAGAGACCAGAGAAGAAGGACAGAATAGAAAGCCACAGAGCAGGAGGGAAGAGAGGGGTCTTAGCAGTCACTCAGACTGCTCTTCTCTGGAGGACAGGTCTGAAATGCCAGGGAGCAGGGCCGGCAGAGCCTGAGGCAACAGATAGGATCCTGGATGTCCCCATGGCTATATGAAGTCTGTGGACCACCCAGGACCACCACGACTTCGGTCACCTTTGTAAGCCGGAAAAAGGCGTCCCACCGGACCCACATGCCTCACTGGCACTCGCCTGCTTGACGGAGTGTATGCGGGACTCCAGTCTCCTGTGCGCCCTGGCTGCGTGAGTCTGTGGTGCACAAAGCCTAACAAGAGGCCTTCCCACATGCCAAAGAGAAACCCAGAATCCAGAGTTCCCACCTCCGTTGATTTGAGAGTGAGGCGATTAGAGTTAGCACAGCTCGGACCCAGTGGTTCCACAGAAAGTAACTTTTCCAGCAACCAGGAGGAAATCAGGGTGGATGAGGCTTGGCGGTGGCTCCATGGAGCAGAAATCAAGGCACCGCGACGTGAGATGAGCGTGGAGCAGAAGGCGGAGTGGAAAACTCCGTCTCAAGAGGTCAGTGGAGTGGAGGGACTGGCGGCTAGAGAAGGACCGGGCAGCTGGAAAACTGGTCAGCATCTCTGCCTTCACAAAGCTACAACGGTGCTGCTTCCCGCCGAGGGGATGGGTTTGAGCTGAGACAGGAGGGGGTGGGGGAGCTGAGTGTGTGTTTAGGGGGCCCGGATTTGGCATTTGGCAGGAAAACGAAAATAAAACCTCCATTTGCTTTTGGATGATGGCAATGAAGATAAACTTGAGTTCCACCAGACATGAAACGGGACGTATCTTCTGCATTAATCTGCTTCCTTCCAGTGTTGTTTCTAAGGTCTGGATAAATGACTATGCAACTTTGTTATCAGTATATTAGAAGTATGTTGCGTAAGATCAAGTAAGAATTGTAAGAAAACCTGGAAAGCATTCAACATCTGAATCAGAGTATACGTTGTTACTGCTACTTTCTAAGGAAAAAAATAATTTAGGATTTAAAAAAAAAAAGCAAACAAACTTATGAATCCATGGGTTATTTGGACTTTGGAATAACTACTGAAATGTCATTTAAGCTTTTTAACTGTCATTCAAGTTTTTCAAGCAGTTTAAAAAAAACTTCATGAGGCAAATTTCGAATATTTTACTTTATTACCAGAATTAACTATATAACATATGAATTTTCATATTAAAACTATGCTGGTGTTAACTCTTTGCAATTTTAAGGATTAGAGTCAACGACTGAATTACCAAAAGTGAGTTGGGTTTTCTAAAAGTCTGGTCCATTGAACAACAATCTTGCAAGGTGGCACTTTACAATAGGTTAAAAATATTTGAGAAACACCAGATACGCATGCAGAAACATGAAACACATTTGCCCCCTAAATGTTTTGCAGTAAGGGAAACTTTCTTTTTCAAATAGAGATTGGAGTCACACTGTGGTGCCCAGGCTGGTCTTGCACTCCTGGGCTCAAGTGATCCTCCCAAAGTGCTGGGATGACAGGCCGAGCCACTGTGCCCGGCCACCGTGCCCAGCCGGGAGACTTTTAAAACTTTGTTTAACCAAGAGTTTCCAAATCTGTGTGGCTATAGTGCTCTTTTGAAGCGAGATTTTGATTTACTTAACGTTGTCCCAGTTATAGATTGTTGCTCATAACACACTCCTTAAATTTTGCGCTTAAGTGAACAGCACATGTTCTTTTTTGTTTGTTTGTTTGTTTTTGAGTTGGAGTCTTACTCTGTCACCCAGACTGGAGTGCAGTGGCTGCTCCCGGCCACCGCAGCCTCGACCTGCTGGGCTCCGGCGATCCTTCCGCCTCAGCCTCCCAAGTAGCCGGAACTACCGGCACCCACTACCAGGCACTGCTCATTCATTTGTAGAGACGAGGTCTGGCCAATTCGCCCAGACTGGTCTCGAATCCCTGGGCTCAGGCCATCCTCTTACCTCAGCCTCCCAAAGTGCTGGGATGACTGGCTTGCGCCACTGTGCCCAGCTGAAATGCATACTTTTTAATCAGGGGAGTCCGCCATCACCAATCATCCGGTTCATGTTTGTTAGAAGTGACACTTCACGATGCTGGCCTTGCTCTAAAACACAGAAATGCACTGGCTGCTTGCAGGATCCAGTCTGTCTAACCCCTTCTGTCCCGACCCTAAACGCGAGCCACAGGAGATTTTGGGACCTCCCAGACTGACAGGCGACATCTCCTGACTGCGCTGAGAACTGAAGGAAGTAAGCCTCAGAGTGTGGTTTGTGATTGTCGTGGCAGCTTTACAAAGCAGGAACGCACAGTAAGATGTTCTCACTCCAAGCCGAGGAGCAGTGCCCGGTCCTGGAAGATCAGAAGAGGGAAGGAGCCACGCACACAGGAGGAGGCCGCGGGTGGCGATTTCTTTTTTTTTGAGTTGGAGTCTCACTCTGTCGCCCAGACTGGAGTGCAACGGCCGCTCCCGGCCACCACAGCCTCGACCTGCTGGGCTCCAGCGATTCTTCTGCCTCAGCCTTCCCAGTAGCCGGAATTACAGGCATGCGCTACCACGGCCGGCTGATTTTTTGATTTATTGCAGAGATGAGGTCTCGCTGCCCAGGCGGGTCTCGAACCCGCGGGCTCAGGCAATTCACTCACCTCAGCCTCCTAAAGGCGCGGGATGACAGGCTGAGCCACGGAACCCGGCTTGTGGTGATTTCTTTACAGCAGAAGCTGGACCTTGCTTTTGTAAGATGGTCACTGATGTCACTTGGGAAATGTCTTGTGTGGCAAGCCTTTCCCACCTCAGCAGGCAAAGTTCTTGAGGGTTGCCCCAAGAACAGGGCTTGGTTCAACAGGGTTCTCTGTAGATTTCGACGGACACTGTGTGTCCTTGTTTTTGAAATTCCTGGTTTATTAACTCTCCAGTCTCCATCATGTCAGAAAAATAGACACGATCACCATACTACTGTGTATAAGGCAGCCAAGTTGGGCCACAGTGAAAACAATCTCAAAATTGCGAGGGTTCTTAGCATGTGGCCATTCTGGTGAAGTGAGCGACTACGAACCTCTTTCCTTGGGAATCACCTGATTTTCTGGGTCATTCTGAGTTGTTTGATCCGCCTGAAGACAACTTTGTCAAAAGTAACAGTTTTGTCCAGGCGTGGTGGCTCAAAGTGGTAGGTGTCATCCCAGCACTTTGGGAGGCCGAGGCGAGAGGATGGCCTGAGTCCACGCGCTTGAGACCAACCTGGGCAAACTGGCAAGACCTTGTCTCTACAATAAATACATTAAATGAATTAGCCAGGGGTGGTAATGTGTGCCTGTAGTTCCAGCTACTTGGAAGACTGAGGCAGAAGGATTGCCAGAGCCAGCAGGTGGAGGCTGTGGTGGCCGGGAGCAGCCACTGCACTCCAGCCTGGGCGACAGAACGAGACTCCGACTCTAAAAAAGAAAAGGTGACCTTTCTGCGTAAGCTGCGAAGGGCAGAGGAGTTAGAGACTTGCCCAGGAACACGGCACTCATGACAGGACAAACACTGTGAACCAAGGACCCAAACCGTCGCTTCCGACACGCGTCTTGAGAAACAAAGATAGAACAGGTACAATACATAAAAACGGGGCAATGCCCCCAGAGGGATGGCGTCAGACGCAGCTCCCTGTTCAGCGTGGGACGGACCGTTCAGTGCTTGATGTCTGAAAGATGCCATGGCTTCCATACTGGGAATTTGCATGCCACTCTTAAAGGAAATATGTCTGTGAAGTTTGATTTTCTAATTTCCCAACGTTTCCAGTGTGAAGCCTCGTCATTACATTGCCAAGGGCTTGTGAGTCATTGCAGCCAAAGTCGCCAGGGATGAGAAGTGGGAGTGTGCCTGACAGTTCTTTGTGATGCAGAGAGAGAGGAGGTGAGTCAGAAGGGAGGGTATGCTTAGGTTCCTTTTTTGAAACCAAAAGAATTTACAGCAGGTAATTTGTTTGCTTTTGGGGGACTTTAAAATAGGAGAAAAATGACCAAAAATCCAATTTGGTATTTCCTGAGTGACTCACAGTTCTATTTCAGGAGAATAATGGTCATAATTGCAGGTCACTTTCCTAAAATACATGAAGAATCCTTTCTCAAAATGCAGCTCCATCAGGGTAGAAGATGCATTCATGCCCGAAGGACGTGCCGGCTCCGTCCGGCCTCTGTGGAGCCCGTGGGGTGCGCCCTGGCACGCGTGCTTCCTGACAGAAGTGAGGGAGGGGAAAGGCCCTGGCACGCAGCTTCTTCCTGGGCAGAAAGGCTTCTGTTCCCACCCATTCCTTCAACAACCGTTTGTGGGAGGGAAGGTGCTGCCTAGATGCAAGGAATGAGGATGAGCCTGGCACAGCCCTGGCCTGGTGGCGCCTTTAGGCTCGAGGGAGACCGGTCCACAGTCTCACACACAAGCACGGGCTCACATGCAAACACACCCACACACAGGCACACAGGTTCACATCATACATACATGCACACACACACTCCTGTATGTTCACCCATACACACACCTTCACGCACATACACAGATGTACACGGGCTCACATGCACACCCCTCCCACACACATGCACAGTCTCACACAATAAATACATGCACTCATACACACTTCTATATGCTCACATACATGCACATTCGCATATGTATTCACATATAATCATACACATGCATGTACACCCATATACACCTCTGGCTCTCACACACACACACACACACACACACACACTCTCTCTCTCTCTTTTACACGTACACACAGGTTCACACAATACATATATGCACACTCATACACACACTCCTGTACACTCATGCATACACACATACATACACACCTGTACACATACATACAAACGCACCCCTTCATACATACAAATTCTCACACACAGGTCTCACTATGTTGTCCGCGCTGGTCTCGAACTCCTGGGCTCAAGCAAGCCTCGGTCTCCCAAAGTGCTGGGATTACAGGCATGAGCCACTGTGCCTGGCCAAATTTCTAATTTTTAATGATATTTCTTTAATCATCAGAGAAGATTATTTATTAGGTAAGCTGTGAAGGTAGCATCCCCTCACCAAGTTGTTTAGTGACAATGTCTTCAACTATTTTTAAGGTGAGTGGGGCCTAAAAACTGTGCCTTTGATGAATCTGTGGTTACTGGTTAAGCGTTATTTTCAAAGGTCTAAAAATTCCGGGAAGCCAAACTATGATTCATAGATAACGCAAACTTCTAGACACCACAGTCTTTACTGGGAAAACCTGGGTCTGTCTAAATGACATCCAGACAGTATTATTAAATAATTCCTGTGGCTGTACCTTCATGATGAAAATGTGTAAGTGATAATTAACTCCATGATTATTTTACCAAAGTATATCAGACTCGAGCACATCGTTTACAGGATACTAAAAACATGACTCGACAGGACTCATGGACATGACGAGGCGATCCATAAACTAAAAGTGGCCAATAAACACACGAGAAGGTGTCACATCATTAGTAATCAGCGAATGCTGAATTAAAACGAGAGGTTGATTGGGGCTATCGGCTTGGCAAGGATGGAGAAGATGGGTCAGACCTTGGTGCGACTGAGGGCAGGGTGAAACGGACACTCATGCATTGTTGATGGGCGTATTAGCTGGTGTGAACCACCTTTCGAAAGGGCCATTTGGCAATACAGAGTAAAAAAAGAGTATCGCCTTTGACTCCTCCCTTCCACTTCTTGAATTGTCTTAAGGAAATATAATCAGACAGATAATGCACAAAGATACTTCACACGCATGCTCACTGTGGTGTTTATATGACAAAAGTTGGAAACTACCTAAATGCCTGTCAGTAGAGAAGTGCTTAAATACATTATGGTTATGATTCTAAGTTATGAACTTTATGCAGCTATTAAAAAGTGTTAGCTCGATTTGTGCTGGCATGAAAAGATGTCAATGTTCTGTACTGGATGATGCCATTTTTGTATTTATAAAAAGATGCCTAGAAAATACATTTCTATATTCCTACTTTTAAAAAACCAGCTTTATTGAGGTATACCTTACATACCATACAGAACACCCATTGTAAGTGTACAATCGCCATCATAATCCAGTAACACAGCTTTTTTTATTACCCCCCTCAAATTTCCTCATGTGCCTAGGTTTTTTTCCCATAATATATGAAACAAATGAGACTATTTCTATTTCTAAATGGTGTCTGAACTGTATTTCTGCTTTGCTAGTGACTTTAAAAACCACTTTATTGAAGCATGATTGACAAAAGGCTGTTCATATCTAAGGTCTACAACTTGATGAGTCTGGAGATAAGAGTCCGTCTATCACAGGCCTAACCTGTGGTAATAAACATATTCCTCACCACAGGCCTAACCTGTAATAGTGGTTAGGTTAGGGGGGACTTGGTGGGGGAGGGAAGAAATACAGACAGTTTCCTGGTTTATAATTTCTGTATTATTTGAATTATTTACAACAAGAATATATGATATTTCAATTTGAGAAAACAGTACATACTTTTCTATTTTGAAAAGAACAATAAAAGGAAACATACACTCATGGACCAAAATCTGCTTCTGGTAATTTATCCTGAGGAAATAATCGCGTATGTGGAAAAGATTTGTGTTCAAAGACATTTATCCATATTTTATTTAAGACAGAAACATTACAACGAGAACACGCACTAATCGTACTGAAATATGAAAACTGCAGGACGCAAACCTTTACATGGGTATAAGCTCGCCCATGGGAAAGAAAAGTTAATACACTGCCAAAGCGCCCTGTTTGGAAACATCATAAAATCTTACCAAGGGTGATGTCTGGATGGCAGAGCTGTAGCACTTCGTATTTAGTCTCTGTGCATTTCTTCACTTTCTCCGTAATGATGCCGGTTCAACACAGGTTAATTACAGTGTTGTTTCACGAGAGCATAAATTTGTCGAAGCACAGAAAGGCTCGCTTTAAACACGGACGGCCGAGTGGGGACCAAGACGGGTCTCGAGGAACCAGGTCTTAAGCCTCTCACGGCGACAGTTCTGCCGATCTGGAGACGAGGGAGCAGCGGCTGTGGGCCTGACCTCAAGGGCAGCGCCGCCTCTGTCCCAGACGCCTCCGCCCGGCGGCCCGCCATCTGGCCACCCCACCCGTCGCCCGTCCGCCACCCGTCCGTCCACGCATTCCTCATCCGCCCCTCCG